ATTAAATTTCCCACACAAAATGCCATTCAAAACTGGCTACCGAAAAAGGACCATAAGCCGTTGGGTCAGTGAACTTTGTTTTGGGATAAGGGATAACTAAGCATAAACGTTCTCTAAAAAAAATAGAATCTTAAAAGGCTCGATTAATTTAACAGGCTCGATAAATTGTATACAAGTCTCGATAAATTTAATAACCTTTGGTTTTTCCAAGACTAACCCATTCCAATTTTATAAGACAAAAATTCTGCCGAATTAATCATTCAGTAATTTTTGCCCGCAGCACTACTGTATTGCCCCCAATTGTAGACATCTCTCTGCTTACTTATTAGAAATATGTTTTTGTCACTGCCTCGAAGGCATTTAATTAAGCATACCAAAACGACAAGGGGATAAGAAGCGAGAAAGAGGAAAAGTCGTACGCAGAACCCAATATGCAATATGCAGCAGCAAACAGCAGCCAAACATAATTATTCATTTTCATTGTGCACTTTGGAGGCACTTGAGCAAATTTTGTGCAATTTGCACCACGCAAAAGTGCAGAAATTGAAATAAATGGATGATAAGCAAAAGGGGGCAAAATGTGGGGGATAAATGAAGTGGAGTACTCAATGTTTGTCTGCTGCAGCAGCGAAATGCAAACAGCAGCAACAACAATTGCAACGGTGTCTGCAACATGTTGCCATGACAATGACTGTCGACGTTTGGCGCCGTCTGGCAAACATACAAACATTCAGCATACACACAGCCAGATCTATAAGTACACACAGAATCAGCTGAACGCAGACAGACACACCACAATGCATATCAAATGCTTAAATGACAACAGCAACATCTACTCAGCGACAGCAGCAACATCAACAATTGCACAGGGGAAAAATATGTTGAATATTTTATATTCATTTTTAGCTGATAGAAAATAATTAAATAGAATGGATGGAATTTAGTTAGAATTTAATTTTTAATTGGCGGTTAACTAAAAGTTAAACTTATAGTTTAATTTTTTAAATTTTATCGTTATCAATAACAGTAACTAGAATTAAAATATTTTGAAGTAAGAGTCACCTTTGATCATCAGTTTCCACGTTGCCACTCCTGATACTTTCCTTTCCGTGCAGTAGCAACATCAACGTGTGACAAAGAAACTTGTGAGGGAAATGCAGGGAAAAGTGTCAAAGGCAAATGGCAAGGGTATCCTATCCCTCCCCAAAAGACAGTTACAATAAATGTCATGTTTAAGGCAGTCAAGCGAGGCACATCACTCCTGAAGAAGAGCAGACGACGACCAACAAGCCAGCCAAACTCCATGAGCAACATCCGCGCACACAGCCAGCAATCCAACAATAGCAACAATGGCCAACAACTTTGGCAAACATGGCCCGAAGCAATTCCACTCGCACCTGAGTGGGCGTGTAGGTAGACATGTCTGAGTTGGAGAACTTTTGCATAAATTTACTGGCTTTAATAAAAATTTAATTCCAAGCGGAATTTGCACATTGCAACGACGCGATATGCTACATATGCCACATTTTTTTGCTGCACTCCTTTTTGACTGCATAAATTTCGGGCCTGTCCAGCAGTAGTAGTGGCGCCCATCAACTGTGAATTTTTGTCGCCGCTGCCATTCCGCTGGAATTCGGCTCAAAATTCGCTGACACTGGCAAAGAACTGAAAACGGAAAACTCTTGGCGCACTGAATGTGCAGCCATCAATCTGGGAAAGTGTCGCCACTCCGGAGAACACTAAAAAACTATTTGAGAAATTATAAGAGGAAGCCAAGGCCTAAATACCCTTTAAAAAAATTATTCTTTGAAAATTAATTTTAAATATATTTTTCCTAATTTTTGGAGAATTTAAAAAATTTATCTTTCAATCCACCAAACTCCTTCATATTTTGTTATATTTTATAATAAAATCTTGGTAAGATTTTCTTTTAAAATCTATAATAAGCCAAGCCAAATTTATCAATTCTTCAATTTCCACCACTTTTTTCCAAGGGTATCAATAAACTAAGAATTCCACACCAATGAGTGGCTGTCGTTTCCCTTCAACTTCTGAGTTTGACAACAGCTCGGGAAAATTTCCGCCAGCAAGAAGCAAAAAGGAAATACCCTGATGTATGGTGTCAGTTTGAAATAAGAGGGCAAAATGAAATAAAAAAAAAAATAGAAAATGATCGCAAACAGCTAGCGAACATTTATTTATTTCTATTCAAATTTGAAATTTCAGACTGCGATTGCGATTTCGCAGCGAAGAGCATTCAGACACACACACATGTGGTAGTGAACGCTCATCAATCATTTATATAAAAACTTATTTTCTTGCTTTAAGTTCGCCAGAGACAAAGATTGATTGGCATATTAAAAACGCGCAGAAAACAGAGCAGATCTCGGCTGAATCATCGGTTACACCCCTTCGAAACCAAAAAATAAACCGAAAATAATAACAAGGAAAGGATTAAGGAAGAGCCGAAACAATTAGCAGATGTGCAGAGTCCGAATTGAAGTTCAATTCCCGGAGCTGTGTTAATTATAATTATAGCTGCCTCGGTTTTTTACGCTCGTTTTTTGACGCAAATCCCTTGACAGCCAAAATGTCGACAGCTGATTGGGAAAAAGGTTAACCCCCAAAAGTCTATGATATGCTGATTAAAAAATCAGCGAGGCGGTAACAAGCATCAACCCTTTCGGGAATCATTGAGTGGCAAAGCAAATTGCTGGATGATTAACAAGTTGACTTGTCTTAATTATGACGAACCGGTTCTTTTTTTTTTTGGTTTTTATCCGTTTTGTTTGACTTGGGGATTACTTGGGAAAATCCTTTGGGCAAACAGGGAAAACTTTACCCGGACAAACTTGAAATTTTCCTTTTCTATTCCCTGTTCCAGTTCTTTAAGCCCGGCTAAAAACTTCTAACCGACAAAATCCTAGACAGTTTAAACAAAAAACGTTGCATGGCATTTTGAATGGCATTAAATATTTATAAATTCAATACGAAATGCAATTCGGAATGCATGCCAAAAAATAAAAGGGGGGGATTGAATTGTAAAGTTTTTAAAAGCAATTCGCTGCCAGACAGACAATGCCTTCTCTTTCTGCTGCGTGCAGACATCGCATAAGTTGGCCAAAAGGGAAATTCCCCGAGACCAGCTGCAGATACAGATACAATTTTGGCTACGCAAAACATATTCAAAGCTCTCTGGGGTGGCTGCAGAATCCAGAGAAAGGCAGACAGGTGAGAGGCGAGGTGTATTCCAGTATTTTCCCCCTCCCCAAACAATTGTCCTGGTAGAAATTCACTCTGTCTGCCACTTATGAAATATTCAAGGCGCACTCCAAGGACTCGTGCATCCTTATGTGCACACACACTGCACACTCAAAAAAAAATTTTAGAAAATCGCCTATGGATTTGCTTTACTGGCGATTTTTTTCTATATTTCTGGAATATTTCTTGAATTTAATGAATTTTGATTAATTGGAAGAAAATTTTCTTTACCAGTAGAAAATTTTTTTATTTTAAAGAAAAAAATCGCCAGTGAAGCAAATCCATAGGCGATTTTCTAAAATTCAGGGCGATTCATTTTCTGAGTGCATATATGTGTTATGATTTCATGAGTTCTGACCGGAATGGTTTACGATTTTCGGTTTGGCCACCGCAAAGGCTGAAGTTCGCCTTCGAGGCTCGCTAATTGCCACTTGAAATAATTCCCAGTCCAGACTTGCGGCTCCAAATCGGTTTTACTCGGTTCAATACCCGTCGTCGTCTGCTCTCGCCTTAACCACAAGCCCAATCCCAATCATATATATCAATCGGAGCAAACGGCAACAATGGGATTCAGCCGAGCATAATCCATAACAATGTGCAGTTCGAAGGGCTCAAGCAGGCCTCAATCTCAAAATTCAATGACTGCAGGGCACCGAAAAAAATATAATAAAACATAAAGCAAATTTCCTGCAAATTTATAAAATAAATATTTCATAATTCCAAGTACTTTCTCAAGTATTTTAGATGTTATAAAATCAAATATAGGACCAAATAATAAATATAAATAATTTGAATTGTTAGATGAAATATACAATTAGTTTATATTAAACACAATTCGGAATTTCTCAATTTTCTTTCTTTCCTTCATTTTTTTTTTTTTTCAGTGAATATGACGTCAAATTGAAATCAACTTACACTTGAGCCAGCCATCTCTCTTACTCCCACACCAATGAAATTGTTTGGCTGGGCATTAAACCGAGTGTAAACAGAAATCCGAAACAACCCACAGGGGAATCGGAATCGGGGTAATATCGGAGGCTATATTATAGAAGGGAATAATGGCAGAAAAGAGGAGAATGGGAAGAAAAAAGGCTGAATGAGAGGCGGCGAGATTGAAAGATAAGCAGGCGGTCCAAAGACTTTTTCCTCTTGATTGGCTTCCAATGCACTCATTCACAATCGATGATGAGATGCACCGAGAAAATAAACTATATAAAATAAAATATAAAGACTTGAATTTATAATTGGATTTAACTGTATGCATTATATTTTTCAATACCATTTTGGTCTATAAATATATTAAAATTTTATGAATACTTTAAAAAGTAAACAAGATCTTTTATTTTTTCCCACTACATTCAAGTTGTTTTCAGCTTTTTCCTCTCGCTACTCATGTGACTGCAAAAACAGCTTAGACAATGAATATTTGTATTTTTCTACGCTGCACTTCCCGAGAATTCTAACTCAGCTTGGCAGCCTCCGCAGACCAGCTGGAAATTATCTAATCCAACAAAAATAAACCCCCAAGACAGCCCCCTCTATGTGTACATTTAAACCAAGGCATATCCAATTGCAAGTTTGCCAAGTCAGGCAGATATTTGTTTGCCTTTCCTTCCAAGAAAGCAGCGTCAAGTCAAGCTAACTTTGCGGTTTCTCAATGAGTGAATAAGCGAAACAGTGAATGAATGTGTGAGTAGATATAGCCTAGGATTTGATTTATATATGTATTCATAACTCACCTTGACTTGATAAGAATTCAAACGAGTCTTTGGCAGCAAATTGAACGACGAAAAGTCCAGGCGACGCGAAAAGATCCCATTGCAACCAGATGTGGAGCTAAAAAGAGTGGAAAGAAATATATGCATAAATCAGAAAAAGATAGATAAGCGAAAAAATATGAATGCACAAATTCCTCTAAATAAAAATGTAAATTCTTTGACAGCTGGAAAATTGCAAATATGACAGCCGAGCGGAAATTCCTCTGGTCTCGAATTCAAGCCGGATGGAATGGCGATAAGGATTTCCCTCTCCGAAATCGAAATACTCGTATGTATATGAATATTGGCTGTAAGCCACGTAACTTGGCATTATTCTGACTAATCGCGCGCTACGTGACTTTTTAGTTTCTTTTCTCTACAACATTTTCTTTGCCCCCACTGACGTCACTGAAAACAAAAGTTGCTCAAGAGGCCTTAAAAAATTAAAACAAATAAAATTATATTTAATTCCCTCTGCTGGGAATTTTTTCACATATTTTCTTTTCAGCTTGTTGTATTGCCTACGGCCAAAGCAAATAAAGTTATCAACAATGCCCAATATAAGAGACAGGAAAAAAAGCTACACATAAATATATACAATAAAAATAACAAGAAAACGAAAGCAAACAGAAAATGTGCAAAAGCAGTGAGAGAAGAAACGACATGAGACAAAACAGTCGAATTCATTTGTTGACCTTGACATTGAATAGATTTGTTTTGTTTTTTTTTTTCTTCCCCTCTGGTTTTATTTGCATTTATTTTAATTTCAATTTTATTTCTACAGCGCTCTCACTCGCTCTTATCAACCACTTAGCCTCATGTGGAATTTCAACTTATCTGCTAAGGAGAAAAAAACAAAAACAAATATACTACCTTATCTGGTTGTTGGACTCGAAAGCTAAAACCATTAGAAATGCTATAATACGTTGTTTATTTACACCTTGGCTTCGATTATATAACATAAACAAAGCAGACCGAATGTCGCGTCATTTTTCAAGTTAGTCATCGACTTTTGCTAATCAGCAGCAACGACAAAAAGCGGTGCAAAATTTGTAATTTATTTTTAAAACAATTACAGGCTGTGAGGAAATTCGAATTTGAAGCCAATTTTAAGCCAAGCGTCGTACATTCCATTCCTCTCACCCACAAGTAGAACCCCTCGAGATATTTCTGCTAATTTGGGCAATATGAATTTTAATTCGAATCGAAAAACGCAAAACTCAGCAGCTGGCTGGTCAGTTTGGATCGTTCAGATCGTTCATATTGGTCATATCGAATATGTGCTCGACCCGCTCTTTATTGTTTGCTTATTTTATTGATCGGATCTCGCACTCCAGATCGAGATGTGCACGGCTAATGAATTTTAATGGCCCAAATGCGTTGGCCTTCCCACCGACGACTATTATTGTTCATTTTTGGCCCGAACACGTGCGCTCTGCTCTTTTCTTTTCTCATTCTGTAGAATCGACTAAAGGCCCCCTATCAAAAGCGATCTTAATTTTTATGAGTGTACCCTTTCTTTATAGGGGGTGTACAAAGTGCTAGAATAAAATCGGGCAACGTATTTGGGTTTGGGTTGTGAATTAATCAATTTTATTTGGTCAGCGAATTATGGATTATTATCACATATTGCTTATGCGATTTCAATTGTTTTTTAATTGGTGAATTTCAGTTTATATCAGTATTCCAAAAATGAACGTAAGTTCATTAAAGTTATAGAATACAATTTGTAATATCTACAAAAAAAAAATCTACAACTAATGTTTAAAATGTTCTAACATGACTGAATAAAGTAATTAGTAAAATCATCGACTATTAAATTTTATAGCCAGCTAATTGATTAAATTTTCACATCATTTTCAAATCGACCATCTCGTTTGAGCAGAGTATAAAATTGTTTAATTTTTAGATGCCATTATGGCCGAATTCTGCATTTCGGCCGGGCCAATCGTTTCAAGATCTGTGAGTCAGATCCGCCTCCTGTCAGCTCCAGCTATTTAGCCTATAGAATATAGCTTATGGCATATAGCTGTCATTGGAACAATCCATGATTTGGGGGCTGGCCGGTTCTTCCTGTCTGGACTTTTGTTGGCTTTCTGTGGTTTTGGAATTCAATGGGAGTTCAAAGTGAAGTGCAGTCACAGCTGGTGAGGTCCGAATCTGAATCAGAAACCAAGTCCAATTTCAAGACCCATGAATGTGCTGTAATTTATAGGCGGCGTCGCTTCCGTCGCCTGTCAAATTGAATGAGCCAAATGAGTTGAGCAGCCAAGACAAAGGCGTTTCAAATTAGAATACCAAACATTATCACATGTTCCGAGCAGCTGACTCTGACCTTGAATGGCCGAAAAAAAAAATGAAAACACAAGCGAAACTGTGTTGGCATATAAGCTATTTTGTAGCCAAATATGATTGTTTTAAATGGGAGAAAATATAAAACAGTACATTATCATTGTAACAGAGTGACCATGGTGTAATATGAATCAGTTTATTCTTAAGAATAATCCAATGTGACCTTACCATTTTAAAAACGGTCAAATTAGTCAGTTTTTTATATAATGACGTTGTTTTGACAATAGCAGGGCGGATCGATAGGGCGAGGCCTTTAGCCTGCTGTCAAATAAGAAATGAAATGTCGAGAACCCAGGTTAAAGTCGTGCTGTTGCTGCGTAAATCTGAGGGCCGGCTGCAGTTTCCTGGCAGTTTTCGAGATCTGCTCATCGATCCTGGGTCTTTTTGCGGGAGAAGGTAAGCCAGAGGTAAGCTCTGCTTTAAAAATTCTTTAATTTTGAGTATTCTTAAACATTTTTTTTAAACACACACAGGTGCTCGGTTGTTGGTGCTTGGCCGAGCTGCCTATATGATGCATTTCATCGGCTCAATTTTCCTTCTGATAAGCAGTTTCTTGGTATGTTATCACCTTTCAAAGTCCCTTCTCTGATCTCTATATCTTGCAGCAGATCGAAGTGCTGGTCTTCATCTATTTGGTGACCAATATAGTTCATCTAATCTTTTCCACCGCCTTCATCATCGACTACGGAGTGAGCTGCGGTTTCTGCACCCTGGAAGCCATTCCTGTTGTTATCACCCTGCGTAAATATTACTTGCACTTAAATGTAATATCATGCAGTTAACGTTCTTTCAGTTTTCAGCATATATTTCTGGCTGGTGGCATTCTCCTATTGGCGACGCCTTCGATGGGAAAACAATCCCGAAAACGACGACTAAGGCCAGGGGGTATCGTTAATTCTGGATCTTGAGTGTTTATTCTGTGTGCCTTTTCTGTTGGTTTTTGCTCTGTGTACTTTTTTCGTTTTGGCCTTAATTTCACACTAATTTGTAAATTTGCCTTTAATGCCAAAGACAAAGAAAAAGACAAAAACGAAAAGAGCAAAGTTCCGCAAATTGTTTGTACACAGAAATATATATATATTTTGTATTCACTGCGAGGAGAGGTAGAAGTAAAGTAAATGAATTGCAGGCAATCAGAATCGGAGAGGGGAAAACTATGCATTTCCATCGTTTTCCTTCTCGAAAGGAACCGAATCACTTCATTCCCGGGCAATTTTCAATCACGTGCTAAGTGCTGCCAGACAGAAAAGAGTCGATTTGTCTGCCCTGCCACGTTAGCATGCAATGCAAGTAGAGAATGGGGGAAAATCGGAGGAAAACTGGAGCTGATTTGTGTGCTGCATAATTTTCCGTGCCACAGAAAAGAGCGGAGGAAAAGGGAGCGAGCCCCCATCAAGTGGCAAAACTATTTGCCCTATCACGTACAAATTAAAAATGTGAAATGTTTCAATTTCTGTGGGTCCAACTCTTCTCGGTCTTTGGGATTGCCTCACACAAAGCAAAGAAAAAACAACACAGCCAGTGAGCTCCACTTCAACTTCGATTGTGGATCCCCCATTCCCCTGTAAGCCCCCTTCTCATACCATCAACTATCCATCGGTTTATGTAAATTCATTTGCGGTGACTTTGCTTTGGCGCCCAATTAGTTTAATTTATGCAAATACAGCGCGGGCCACTGACAGTGCGTGGCGAAAATATAAGTCAACGGATGCGGAGAGCACATGTGGTGGCTATAATCGATAATTGGGTGATTGGATAATTTACAAACCGAAAGTGTTCAGGGCGCCACTCGAAAATGCCATTAATCGATTATGGTGAACCGTTTAATTTGGGACAATCGATAATGTAAATTTCGATAGGGCGGTAATTTGTTAGAGTCAATTATTTGATAACTTAAAATATGAAAGTTGAAATCATGTTGTAGTCGGAATCGATTGGAAAAGTTTGGAAAAATCGATGTTTTTGATTATTTTACGATAAGTGATCGATAGTCTTATATTTTTGATCTCAGCTGTACCTCTATTATATTCACATCTCGAGGCCCGCTAAATTTAGACTTGTCTCCAAGCAGCTGCCTCGGCGAATTTAATGATTTTCATGTTTGTCCATGTTTCTTCGGTCAAACTTTGCTCTGCTTCGATCTGAACTGATCTTATTTTCGTTTTGACAATTTAATAATCACCATTTGAATGCAGATCAGAGCTTCTTTAGGTCAGTCTTTTCTTCCTACGATGGGTTTGGCCTCCAAACAAATGTCATAGCTGCGCGATTGCAATTAATCGATAAATTACCAAATTCTGGGCGCCGCCAATTGCGAATTTATTTACCTATACAATTTATTTCTTATTTCCCAGTACCTGTCCGTGCGATTCTTCAAGCGCTTCAAATTGTCGTAGAGATTTGTACATTTGATAATTTGATTGCGATTGCTGTTATTTCTGCTTTTGGGGCCACACCTCTCGATAAATTAGACACTGCCCAAAATGCGCACCAAATGCAAAAATAATAATAATAATGGCAAAAGTAAATAGACGACGAGCGACGTACACAGTTTTCGTGCAATTGCCGCTTCTCACGTTTTTCCCATAAATAACTGGCTGTGGGCCACTTGCAATTCAATTTTAAAAATATAAAAATAAATAAAACCATGCATATTTCTTTGTTTGGAGGTGCTGCGCTGCTTCTGGTTATTGATTAAGCCTGGCAATCCCACCGCCCTCCTTCGGTCACGCCCCATCATTTGATTGAACTTTTCCCTAAGCGAAATAAAAATTGGAAAAACTGCAGTAGGCCATAACAAAGACAAAGCCGAGATAAATCAATGCAAAATAGGAGAGTGGTCTTGGTAAAAAATAGACATGAAATGGCAAAGTTAACACCGCAAGCGTCGAATCAAAATCGAAATGAGTTTCCATCTCGCAGCGAATAAACCAAATCAAATTAAATGTGGAAAATATATTTTACTTTCATTTCTCTGTTGGCAAATTTTCCCCTTTATTAGGCTTTTCTTTTTTCATTTAGTAGTCTGTTGCTATGGGTGCGGTCTTAACTATTTTCCCATGCTCTAAACACGCACCCACCTAATAAAAAAAGAAATAAAATCCCCAAATCCCATGCCGATTTATTAACATTTAAATCGAATTTTTCCTTATCGCTTGTTTAGGGAGAGGAGGTAGAGCATTTCCATGTAGTGGACATAAACAAATTAAAAAATATATATGAAATGCAATACAATAATGTGCAATCTCGTCTGCAATTGGAACCGGTAAAACAGTAAGGACTCGATAGGTGAATACTTATTTTTTTCGGTTTGTAAAATTATTTTTAAGTAATATTTTAAGCCACCGGGAATATTTTTTCACAGGAATTACGTATTTAGATTGTTAATATTTAAACGTGGAGTAATTCCTCTTTTACGACTACCCACTGTACTGCAATCTAAGCTCAGGCCAAAAAACTGACCGCATCGCAACGCAAGATCAGCGGCGAGTGCAAATTGATTAATGGATGCTAAATATTTAAAACATTTTGCAGTTGCCAGTTATTGTAAGTAAAGCGAAACCATGAAAAGTTGCCGCTGCGTTTTGTTGCTGTTATTAATTGTTGTAGTTTATGCCTTAAAACGGCAACCAGTTTTAGTTGTTGAACCCCCCTAACCAAAAACCGAGAGAGCCTATCGCATCTGTTCGATCTTAGCAAACGATCTCAAATTGCAGTGGAAAATGGAAACAAACTTTTAGCTTCGCTTAATTGCGCAAATTTAGCCAAGAGGCTCTGATTTAATCCATGGAAATAGCAAATGTTAATCATGTGGGTTGTGTCTTTAGAGTCTTGAGTCTTACACAAAGAGACAGACAGATATACGAGCTCATTTCTTGCCACACATTCGCGCTGCTGCCTTTGTTACAAGTACGAAGCGGGCAAATTAATTAATAAAATACAAAAAAGTAATGGAGAAAAATGAAACAAATCGAAATAAGCATAAACAATGCTGAGCTAATTAAAGCAGCAGCCCAGCAACAATAACAAAATGCCAGGCCAAAACCGACCCACATCTAAAAGTTGATCATTTTTAAAAACGCTTATGCTCGACCATAAAAGTACTCAGTGGTTGTGTCGAGTTATTAAAAGGAAATTTAAGTGTTGAAAAAACTAGAAAATTGGAAAGGTGAAATAAATAAAAAATACAAGTATGGAAAGGAGTGTAAAAGTAAGGTGTTTATTTTTATTTCGGTGTTAAATCTGTTTAATCGTTTTCCATAAATATTAAAATATATTATTTTCTTATAATTTGGAGAATGGAAAATATTAATTTGTAAATTTACGCATTAATAGCCAGTAAAAGTGTACAGTGAAAATTATTTTAGTCACAAATTGACTTTGCAAAGCAGTAAACCTTCTCGTTCTTCTACTACCACTTGTAATATAATAAAAACTGTTGCACTTGAAGCGCAACGTGGAAACATAAATCATGGCAAAAAGTCATTTTACAGCAATTCCAAATCGGAATCCGCAGCAAAGGCCAAATGGAGGTGGTGGGTTGGCCAAGGGGCAGGGGGAGGGGAGGGGCAGACAAGCCACGCATGAACTCGAACTGAACTCGAACCTGGCCTGAACTTTAAGCCCAGTAGCAAATGTTTGGGGGAGGGCGTGTGCCAACAGCAGAAAACTGACAGCAAGAAATGGCAAATGAAAATCTAAAGGCGAAGAAATTTATTTTTTTAATTTATTAATACAAAAAATATTTTAAATATATAGGGCAATGCTTAAAAAAAAAGTTTTTTCACACACGAAATATTTTTTTTGTAAATTATTACAATTTGAACTATTGTTTCGTATTATTTCTCTATCATTCAAACATAATTTAATCTTTAATTTTTTCTCTCTCTGTAGCCAGTCGTGATGGTGTAGTAAAATCAGGTTGATGAGCATTGGACAGTCGCTGAAAGTAAACTAGTTCTTGTGCGATCTCCATCTGCTCCCGAGGAGCAACAGGCCAGGCGGCCAGCATATTCTGGGTGCGGTAGCCTCCTTTTTCCGGCACGAACTGAAACTTTAAGCCAGAGCCAAATGCATATAGCCAATAGAGCCGAGGAAGCCGCCAGGGGAATAAAGAAGGCTTTAATGCCTTTTTCCCGGGCCCGGGCAAAGAGTGCAAGAAACCCATAAATTAGCCGGAGTGCGCCTTTATCCATGTGTGTGTTGCTGGTGCTCCATCCGAGTTTGTGGTCAAATAAATAGAAAATTAGCCAGACATTGGCCAGCCAAGCAGCACAGCAAAAGCACAAGAAACGTACAAATAATGTGGATGTTGCAGGCAGCATAAAGAGAGCAATAACAACGCAAACAACACACAAACAACGAACGACGACGACGCACATTAGTTGCCATAAACTGAAGTCTAGAAATTCTGGAACTGAAACCGAAACTTCGGAGGCAGAGGCAACAGCTCATTGCCGCTAATTAATTGCGAGCGGTCAGGCGGGCCCCACAAAGAGGTGTTGGCAAATAAAATGAAATGAAAAAAATAAAAGGGAAAGGGGATTGATAGGGGCTCCTATAAATTTGCCAACGTCAGCAGCTGCTGGCCGGGAATTTAAGGCTCTTTCAGCTGGAAGAAAATCAAGACGAATCGATGAAAGCAAAAATTCCTCACCCGCCTTGACTTGATTTTCTACATTATAACTATAAAAGGAGGGGCACAATTTAGTGGAGGTTGAATCCATATCAAAAACGGTTTGATATAAAAATATAAAAATCAAAACCGAAATTACGAAATAATTCATTAAGTCACACTACGAAATGATTTAACATAATATGTAAGTTCTTTAATTTTATAAAACAGCTAAGCTCTCAGAAAATTTTTTAGGGGTTTTCCTTTTAGTATATCTAATCCTTTTTTAATCTTACCTAATCTATACCTCCCATTTTCAAAGCCTCACCCCAATATGAATCACGAAAAAACGTCTAAAACTTGTAAATATTTTTTACGCTCGCGTGTTAATCGCAAACAAATTAAAACTAAGACACACACAGAGAGCCGGACTCATATGAGCGAAAAAAAATCAAAGGAGGAGGGGAGCTGTT